TTTTATAATTCAAAATATGCTACTTCATAATACTACAAGTTTATGGAGATTGAAGGATGACAAAATTTGCCACATTTTGAACCAGAAGCACCCAATCTAGACATCTAGTACTAAAATAAAGAACTTAGACAACTTATAAAATAAAACAAAAAGCTTAATATGCAAATATAAAATTAAAAACATGGAAAGGCAAAGGGAAATTGAAAAGGGGTAGGACTAAAATTACCTGTTTGTGATCATTGGAGATGAAAACAACAAAGAGATCAGACCCATCTTTGTTTGACAACCCAATTGTGCTGAGTTTTTTGCAAAGCAGATACACATTCTCCTCACTTCATACAACAGCAATTAATTTATTAACAAACCAACCCAACATCATACAAACATAGACAAAGAAGGGCGAGAGGGAGAAAGAAGCTTACCAATAACAAGGAGTGTGATCGAAGTCCGTAACGTTCCAAAGAAGTGGAGAAGTGCTCGAAGACAACTCAAGGTTTGCTGCAGTCGCCATGTCTACATTCGTGCCTGGTTCTTTCTGTTCTGTATAAGTTGGACCGGTTTCTTATGGTCAAGCTTAACATAAGCCGAATCCGGAATTCGAGCCCAATCCATACAATTGGGCCAAGATGTGGACACGGTGTTGAACCCAAAATAAAGCCCACATTAGGACCGGCTAAATTGGAACCATAACCCAGTTTCCATGTTCTGTAGTTCCAAACTTCCAATTTCCAACGCTCGCTCTCTAATCTCTATGGAAGCAGCAGAAGAGCACGACGAGCAACTCACACATTTTGAATTCGAACAAGAAGAAACCAAATTAAAGAAAACGCGCGAAATGTGTTCAAACGGTTGTGATCGCCCTGCTAACGTGTGCCTATGTGGTGTACTACCCACCCAACCTATCTTAACGTCCACCAAAATCGTTATCCTACACCATCCTCACGAGCTTCGACATAAACTCGCTACTGTTCCTATTCTCACCAAGTGTTTGATCAATTGCCAAACCATTATTGGTCGCCGTTTACGTTTTGGTTCTTCTACTCTTCTTGATTCTCTTCACAATGCTTCTATTAATGACTCTACTCGACCTTATCATGCAGTCTTCCTTTTCCCAGGTAACAAATTCTGAACAATGAGTATCTATGTATTTGTATAGAAGATATGATTTTCTTCACTTCTTATTGAATTGAAGTAAAGGGGTATCTTCAAATTTTCATAGATTTTTTTTTTTTTGACATTTTCATGTTCTCAGGTACAGCTTCTTCACCTTCTGTTGAATTGAACCAATGGGCATCTTCAAATATGGGTAGAATAAACATAAACAGTCTAGTTTTGATTGTATTTGATGGAACTTGGAAACATGCCAAGGAGATGGTGGGTGCAAGTTATACATTCTTGTCCAAGTTTGCCAGTCAGGTTTGTTTGGATTATGATGCAGGGGTGGATGGAGAGAGCATATATAATTCAGAGTTAGTGCTTCGGAAGGAACCATTTGGAGGGTGTATGAGTACCATAGAAGCTGTTGCTCGGTCTCTGAGAGTGCTTGAAAAACCTAATGGCATTGAGATTGAAAATGCGCTCATCTCTGTTTTGAGAACTATGGTTCAATTTCAAGCTTGCCACTTGAAAACTGTGAAGCCGAGGCCCAAGTTGTCAAAGAAGGGAAAAGAAGCAATTAAAAGCCTCAAACTGTCAGATGAATGAATGAGTTGTGTTAAAATTTCCCACTATTGTCAATGTAGTTGTAGTTGTAGCTAAACTTCCCAATTGTATTCTTACTGACACATACAACATGGCACAGAATTTGAGATGACATTTTTTTGTCGCTATTGCAGTATTGGTCCTAATATCAAGGCTACCATTTTCATTCTAACGTAAATGATCTGACGGAGCATAATTTCAATAATCTGGAAACAAAATGAATACCTGCTGCAGAATGATCTAATCATGAAAACAATGTCATGTTCTAAAAATTTCAGAAATTGTAAAACTGGTAACCATGGTAATGAGACCTTCATTCGCATGAACTCTGATTCAGTGTTCATCTTTTGCATATTCCCTCAAAACAACATCTTTATATACATGGCTAGTTTCCTTGACTTACAAAACTTAAACCCTACTAGTTGAAAAATGTTGGTGGCAGATACCAACAACTACAGGTTTGCTGTGATAAATGAAGTCAAGAACATATATCTAATATACTAAATTACCCTTCAATAGTTTACTCCGCCTCTGCCTCTGACTGTCGGGGTGATCCACAACTGAAAATTAGTCTTGAACCAGTCGAGCCAGCAACTCTTTCAAGTACAGGTCAACTTTTAGCAAGATCTACTGAACACCTTGACAAAAGACAAAATATATTTTTGGTATCTAGAGTCTGAGAATAAGGCCAATAGGACAATGGTCACTACCCATAACATCTGGGATAATGTAGGAGTCGTGGACTTTGTCGGCTATGGATTCCGAGACAAGAAAATAGTCAAGACGCCATCCTGTCAATAACCAATACCATATGAGTGTAGACAAGGAGCAATTGAGTACAGCTGAACATGTTCTAAATGTCAATGCATTTGAGGTTGGTAATTTATACTTTATAGCACCCAATAATAGTGCTAGCAACAACCCTCACAAAGCTTGGTTAAAAGATGTCCTGGCCATGATCATAGAACATGAGAGACATTTCAGAATGCCAAAAGACAATAATGTCAGACAAAGAAGT